CAAAAAAAAAAAAAGAAAGACAAACAGCCAAAGTGTTATCCATACCATAAAGCATAGTCAACTCAGAGTATCTTCTCTCCCCCCCTTTTTTTCTTTCCCCCAACCATGGAGGCGCTAAAAAGTGGTGTCATCAGGGACCAGCAGTTAGCGTAATGGCTATGTCACTGGACTCCCATGTAGTCGACTGCGGTTTGCGCATCCCAGAGAGGAGAATGGAAGAGAAGGGATTGTGGTGTGGCCATCCTCCCTGGGGAGTGATTTCTCGCTTTCTGTCTCTCTGTCCCTCTCTGTCTGTGTGGCAAGTGCACATGCCCTATAGCAAAAAAAAAAAAAAAAAAAAAAAAAAAATAAAAAAATAAAAAGTTGTGTCATCTTCAAACCAGGCCAAGAGCTTCCCTGTGCTTGGTGTGTGTTTATAAATGGCGCATCCTCTAACTTGACTTGGGGATTTGCCCAGATCCATTTCTTCCCTGTCTGAATTGCATTTGAAATTTAAATGGGCCCACAAGAAAATTACTGAAACAAATTGAAATGATCTAGGATATAAAGACCTTGCATTTAAAGTTTTACCATTGACTTAGTACATGGTATATCTGAATCATTGCAAACATAGCAAGACAAATTAGTTCAGTGACAATGTAAACAGAGGAGGGATTGTATGAAAGTAAGCATTTTATCTTATGTGTTGTGTACATGGGTCAAAAATTGTATGGCTGACCTCTGTATACCAATCTCATTGTTTAAAAAAAGCATTCATTTAAATGAAATGTAATGCAATCTTCTCAAGCTTTAGTCTTCTTAACTATGAAAAGAGGGTAATGATACCTACCTCATTTGATTATGGGGATTAAATGCAATTATGTACCTGAAGGTACCTAGCTCAGAAATGGGAATGTAATAAGCAGTTAGGAAACCTCCACACTCCTCCCATCCCTTTCTCTTTGTGTAAATCATAACATCCTCTCCTCTCTCCTGCACCTCCAGTCCCCATCACAGAATACAGTGTTTAGAGGTGTTGGTAAACTGGTGTTACGCTAAAAGCGAGAATTTTCTATTTGAGATAAAAGTCTGCAGTTTCCACAAGTTAATATAGAAAAGAGACCAAGCATATTTTCTTGCTAGGTAGGCTCAGGTAAAATTGAGCTCCTAAATACCCAGGATTTATGGAATTTGTTGCTAATATTAAAGAGATTTACATATCTGTTATACTCCTGTAGGTTTAATCTGATCACTAGAAAAAGCTCAGAATACATTGCTATTTCAAGGACAACTTGATTACTTGGGTGAAAATTGGACCTTTATTTGTAGAAGCCTTTAGAGTTTTGATACCAATCTATTTAACTCATCTTTGCAGTTCCTTCAGCTGCCCCTGAAAATGTGTCTGCTGAGGCTGTCAGCTCAACCCAGATTTTACTGACATGGGCTTCTGTACCCGAACAGGACCAGAATGGACTCATATTGGGTTACAAGGTACATGTTAAGTTGACCTTTCTTTGCTTAAGGAGCTGGCTGTGAAGGTGTTGTCATTTCCCCAAACTGATCAGTTTCTATTCTCTGATAGATTTACAGCATTGATCAGATGAGTGAGGCTTTTTCCTCAGTGGTCTAAATCTAGGCTTCATTACAGACTAGGAATTAGGCATTGGTAGAACTACTTAACATATGTCGAACAGGACACAAATAGTGAAGTGGATGACAAGTGGAACTCCAATGGCTGACTTCCTGCTCTGGCTCTGCACCTCATGGGCTTGGGCCAATTACTCAAACTCTGTCCCTTTGTTCTCACTTATAAAATGGGAATAATCATAGTAGCTACTTCATAGGGTTGATTTGAGAATTAAGTGACTTACACAGTACGCATTACTCATGTGAAGTGCTGAGTGAGCATAGACAGACATGTGCATGTTGGTAGTGATGTTATTACCATCCACAGTAGCCCTGGGCATCAACTGTAAGTGCCAAACCTGTCTTAGCTTCTCTGGGGAGCATCTCTGGTCTCTGTTTTCCATGCATCTACCCAAACCTATAAAGCCTCCTGGTTTTTTTTGTTCCAGAAACACTCAGAGATGACAAGCCCTATTCCCCCCTTCTGGTCCTCAGCTCTTCTTCCAAGGAGCAGGATGAACTTTTCTAGATTTATGCAGCAAGGCCACGATGATCTCGGTTGCTCCACTGACTTTGATCACGGTTCTTTGTTTTTTTCTCTACCTGTTTTCACACATCTTTGCCCTTCCCTGGGCATTCTGATTGCTCCCTCTGGCCCCATGATGAATGGCAATCCTATTCTATATGGCAGTCCTGTTGAAGGGTTCCATGACCTAAACCCCATATCATATACAGATGCCCTGGGGAAAAATGTTTGCCATACAATTTTCAAACTCCTTCCAATGACTCTGTCCTATATAACCTCTGGGTTACTGATCTTAGGGAACAGTTCAGAGAGAGAAAGCTTGGAGGAGGGCCAAGTAGGAGAACATCTTAAGATGGCTGTGTATGTGGTACCCACAGCAACAAACAGCCCAGGAAGGTGGAAGCTTCAGGTTCATGTGGAGAACAGCAGGCTGCTGAGAACAGGAACCCAGATTCCATGGAGCTGGGAAACACAGAGGACTGCTGGCTCCTTCCATAGAAAGTTGGATGTCTCTGTGTTTATAATTGAGGCCTTGTGTTAGTTAGTAGCTATGGTTGGCATAGCTACAGTTGGGGCCCTCAGATCTTGTAAATTATGACTAGGCAGCCAACTGGCCAAGCTGTGAACTGCGTTATAATTCAAGCTACTCTTCTAATCTGGAGTACAGTCACTTCATCACCACCTTCCTTCCAAATTGCCAATGTGTAGACATTAAATCCATAACATAGCTGTCCTCAGGGAGGAAATGATCAGGCCTTGATCCTTGGCCTGAAGTTGTATGCCCCTCCTCTGTTCCCCCAACCCACAGAAGCCCCTTCTTAGCCCATCATCTGTGATTGTGTGTCCATATGCAGATTCTATTCCGGGCCAAGGATCTGGATTCAGAGCCCAGTAGCCATGTTGTGCGAGGGAACCACACACAGTCAGCGCTGCTGGCAGGCCTGCGCAAGTTCGTGCTGTATGAGCTCCAGGTGCTGGCCTTCACCCGCATTGGGAATGGTGTCCCCAGCCTGCCCCTCATCCTCGAGCGCACCAAAGACGATGGTAAGTTTATAGTCTGCACCTCCAGTCACCTCCCTATGTCTGACTATTCCAATCCAAACAATTTGGATTGTTGTCTTTTTAAAACTTAATTTTCAAACTACAGTTTTTTTCAGTTGAAGGAAACAAAACAAAATTGTTTTTCAGCCATTGAGTGTTTATATGGCCAATTTCAGCCTGGAGTGAATTTTTACAGCCTAATTACAAACCTATGCAGAATTTCAACCATAACTCTGCCATAGGCAATGCCTGAGAGAGGTGCAGTTCTGCCAGTGGGCTGGGGCTGTAAACTATGAGACTGCTCTCCTCATGACATCTACACAAATCTAGTAAAAAATCCGCTCTGGACCTGTGTTCCTCAGTTCTCTGGGTAGTGTGCCCTGGCCTCACCATCTGCATTATGAGAGATAATTAGAAGTTCCCAATGTAGAGAGCAGCATATCTGATGGGCTTTCAGGGTCCCCAGGTCCCTGTGTTTCCAGACCTGAATAGCAAGCACGTCTTGCCAGCTTTGTGTTTATGGAGGTCTAAATCATTGGTAAATATGTTTTTCTACTTTGCAGATGTCAAACACTTAAAGGTTAGCTCCTTTACATTTTTATTATTAAACAGACTGTAATGAATATGTCAGGGGAAAAAGACTGATCTCTCTCTCTCTTCTGAAACTACTGTGGAGATCAGAACTGTCTGTCAGAAGTGAAACAACTGTAGATTTTCTTAAGCTTCTTTACCAAAGTCACTAAATTAACCCCCAAACATGTTATAACTGCTAAATGGAAACCGTTCTCTCCACTTACTAGGGGAGCATCACTGCTGGTCTTGCCTTGATGAGAGAAATGAGTACCTCAGACTGTTCTGCTCATCCTGCCACTAACCAGGACTTTGGGACAGATGGGGGTCTAAGAAGGGAAATGGAAAATGGATGTGTTTCTTTGCAAAACTATACAAAGCTCTAGAGGAAATGAGAAGTAAAAGGAGGCGTTTTATAAACTGTTCCTCAACATTAGGTCTGTTATAAGTGTCTCTTCCTAGAGTACATATTGGTCAGGGTGACCTCTCTTTTCTCACAGTCCTAATATAAACCTGTCTCTCCTCCTCCTCATTTCAATGTGATCCAAATGATCAAGTTGGGTGCGGCTCAGGGGGTGGATGCTATGTAAGACTGATGTCAGCGTTTGCATATTTGAGAATTAGTCTTGCTTATGGGCCTATGGCCTCCTTTGGACGTTTGTTTTTCCCAAATACACATGTCATAGCATATGTTCAAAATTTAAAATACTGTTCTTAGCTTAATAAAAAGAGGCAGAATTTGACAGCCCTAAAATGACCATAACACACACATCATTTTATTTCTGTATTGATCATTCCATGCCCATTCTTCTTCATGAGACTTAATCAGTTATTAAGTCCAAACAAGAAGTCCTCATACTGGTCACAGACTTCCTTGCCTGTCCCTTTAAGTAAATCAATTTATGGGGGCTACAGCCCTATTATTCAGTGGTTCCACAGCACACAACTACTTTTTTAATTATTGGTACACTATATCACACAGAATTGTTGTGTGTATTTGTGCGTGTCCACTCTTAATTTTCTAGGATGAGGCAGGAGTGGAGTGACATGCATAAGAGAAAAGTTGATTATAAACATGTTATTTCATTTTTTTCCCTTCAGCCCCAGGCCCACCAGTGAGGCTGGTGTTCCCCGAAGTGAGACTCACCTCCGTGCGAATTGTGTGGCAACCTCCAGAGGAGCCCAATGGCATCATTCTGGGTAAGGGAGAGATGGTGAATCAAAGGAGAAAAGTACTAGCTAGATTACAACTATATTGATCTCTTTAATTTGTATCTTTATTATGTTTTTAAAGAATTATTTTATTTAACTTTATTTATTTATTTTAATTTGACCAGAGAGGGACAGAGTAAGAGTGAGAGAGAAAGTGAGAAAGCAAACGACCAGGTCTGGGACTCAAACCGCAGTCAGCCATGTGGGAGTCCAGTGTCTTAACCACCACACCAGCTTCTGGCCTAGTGGTACCTTTTTTATTTAGATGTTTCTACCTTAGGGTGTATGTGTTCATTGCAGGGAGAGAGAGAGTCACAGACAGACACAGTAAGAGGGAAAGTGAGAAATCACCTAAGGCGGTGGGGTGTGGGGGGTGATAGCCATTTCTTATGTTTTTAAAGAATTATTTTATTTAACTTTATTTATTTATTTTAATTTGACCAGAGAGGGACAGAGTAAGAGTGAGAGAGAAAGTGAGAAAGCAAACGACCAGGTCTGGGACTCAAACCACAGTCAGCCATGTGGGAGTCCAGCGCCCTTAACCACCACTCTACCTGCCAGCCCCTGGTCTCTCTTATTTTTATGAGGTATTAATATTTACAAGGTTAAAAAACATCATGTCTACAGCAGACCAGCACTTTCTGAACTGCAATGATTGAGAGCCCCTCTACTATTTTCTGAACTATGCACTAAGGATTTTTGGTGGAATAAAATTTATATTTTGTTAACCCAGGCTTTCTTCCACACGTGCAAGTTTCATGGCAACACAATTTGTAATACAGCTTCCCTCCCACTCTGAAATATGCAGGCTGCTGTGATGCATGTTGGGGAAACAATAGCCTAGTTTTCATAGAAGAGGCAGACCTGGGCTTTGCCAGCACACTCCTGGAAACATCTTGCTTCTGCTACAGCGTCTACACCTGGTCCTTGTAAGAGCTGCTGACACAAAGTATATGCCTTAGGTTCCAAGGAATTTGTTTACTTTTTAAGTTTTCGTTCAGGGAAGCAACTTGCTAACATTGATGAAAAGCCTTAATTTTTCCTAGTTCCCCAAAGGCAGCAAATTATATTTTAAAATATCATTAGTTCCTTTATTTATTCCTTTCACCAAGACAGATTACGAACTTTCTGCGTGCCAGGCATCAGATGCATAGTGGGAAGTAAGAGATGAGTAAGTCTTGCCCGTCCTCAATACTCCCAGTACCATAAAGGTACATGTGACAACACAATGTGATAAGTGATCTGAGATTTCCTTAGATGCCTTGCAAGCTGCTCCTCCTGGGTAGGGGTATGGGTGGATGGCTGAAACTGTTTTTGAGCTAAATTTTGAAGATAAGTGGCTTCCAAGGCCTTGGAAGAAGGCAGGAGGGGCAGCCACTCAGCCAAAACAGATTGGCTTTTGCCTGCAGGAGGCAGGCAGATAGATCCAAGACTGGAGACGTGAGCTGGGCTATGAGGACCCTGCTATGCCTGGAAAATGTGGCCCTCAGGCCTGGACTTTTCAAATTGGGCATTTAAAAGCAAGAGCACCAGGCACAGAATATTGCTACAAACCCAAGCCCACACGCAAATCCTAACACAGGAGACTCCTGACTGGATTAGTTTGTGTTCTAGGTGATTTACAGTAAAATTATAGCTCCTAACTTATGAACAGCTGCTAAAATGTATCACTTTGACCTGTTTTTTGATCTTAGGCTTCTGAGATTTTGCTTGAAAAAAGGATTTCACGTCATTAAAGAAAAGTGAAAATAAGTGCTGAGCACAGTAGGAAGTTATCCAAGGGCTTTTAGCAGGAAAGTAACATGATCAGATTTGTTTTAGGAAATAACTGGTAGCCAGAGGAAGATGGGCTGGAAGGCAAATACTTATTGACCACTTGCTTCCTTAATACGGGGCCTAGAACACTCCTGAACCATCTACACAAGAAGACTGGGGCCTGTTTCCATTTGTCTCTTTATGTGTGTCCTGGAGTTGCTGGATAGCAGTATTTTACCATGAATCTAGCATTTCTGAATTAGGTGACATTTGGAAATGCAGGTTCTTGCTACTAGAATCATAAATGAGCAGCTATAGAAATCCACTGTTGAAGCAAACATTTCAGGTCCTCCCCCAGCAGAGAAAGGGCTGAAAGTCACATGGAGGGCCTGCACCATGAGCCCCAAACCTGGGAGGGAAGTGGTTTGTAGAGGTTTGTCAGCACCCACACTCAGGGCCTACCCTCAGCTATACACCTAGGCAGCAGCCTTTTCTGAAACAAGTATAGCCAAATACCCAGGAGTTGTCACCAGCATGCTATAAAGCAAGAAACATTTATAAAGGCACAGAATGTGAAATTCTGGTCTGTCACTTATGGTCCCATGAGTCCATAAGAACTGCAAAGAAGCAGGGCCTCCTCAACCCCTTCCTCATACCTCATGGCCCCTGGCTCCCACTGCCAGCCTCATAGACTCCTCCAGCAGGTCCTTATTCTGTGATAGCATTCACTGTAGCTATACTTGCTGGCAAGAATCCATTCTGGACTGTGTAGGTGCAAAGTGTTCATTTCAGCTCTGTTCCTCTCTGCCATAGAGAGACCTGTGTTCTGGTCTGATGCCCACTCAGGGTCTTTGGTGCAAACCTGGAGAAGCTCTGGCCTCAACTGGCCCTAGGCTATTGTACATGCCTGGCCCTCTGCCTGAAAGATCCCCTTCCCCTACTCTTTCCTAAGACTCTCTGTGTGTCCTCTTTACCTATGCACCTTTGCCATCTCCTTCCATGCACATCTCTAACTGGTCTCACTAGCATGAGTCTCAAGGTCCAAATGAGACTACCAGCTCATTTACTTTTCTTTTACATTTGGCTTTCCGATTATAAAATCCCTATAAGATGATAATTCAGGCAATGATGAAAGTGAAGTGGTGCAGCCACTTTGGACAAGAATCTGGCAATCTTTTGAAAAGGTAAACATGTCCATACTCTCTATACCAGCAATTCCCAACTTCTAGGTCTTATGCCCTAGAGAAATTAGCACTCGTGTGCACAAGGAGAGTATTCACGGCAAAGGATATTCATGGCAAACTCATTTAAATAGCAAACTCGAAAGCAGTTGTAATCTTCACAGTGTGCATGGCATGAATCTTGATCTGCCTGAATTATTTTTTAATCTAACAGAGGGTATGTGTACTTGCCACAGAGACAGAGAGAGCGGGAGAGAGAAAGCACCCACTATGGGCGATGGTCATGCTGCAATCCCTTCTCCTCCATTTCACCCATCTTTCAAGATTTTGGTAATGCACATGCACACACCAGCATTTTTCTCATGCTGCTGATTCTGGTCACGTAGTCATCCCTTTGGGATCCAGTCACCTTAACCATCACACCACTTAACCACCCCAGCACCAGCTGGCCCTGAGCTGCCTCTTTTATCTTTTCCTGCCCTTCCCCCCACCCATCATGAGTAGGGGAGGGAATGAGTGGGAAGAGAAAGAGAGAGAAAGAAAATCACACCATGATTCTCCCACCCCAGCCTTTCCAGCTGGCCAGAATTATGGGTACAAGTGTCCAGTGTGTACAGATCAACTGAGGAACCAAATTTTCCATCTTCCATATAGACCCAGTATCACTTGAGCAGCGCCTTACTCTGTGCCACCAAGCCAGCCCTTCCCTGTGTTTTAAACACTGTGTTATGGACAGGCTGAATAGCAGACTCAGTAAGGGTTTGGACTGGGCAAGCACACACTGCCTGGGCTCAGACCCCAGCCTACAGTTCACTAGTAGAGTGAATGCAAGTTACTTAGTGTTCTCATGTCTCAGGTTCCCCATCTCTCAAAGGGTAATAGCATTCCTCTCTCCCTCAAGTGAATTACACGTAAAACTCTTAGAAAAATGTCTACCACATAGTAAGTACTTAATAGATGTTAGTTTTAATATCCTATTTGATATTTTGTCATTTCTCTCAGACCAGAGGCAGATGGAGTCCCTTTAGACTCAGGCGCTAGCCACAGGCCTCTGTGTCACTTCAGGCTTAGCCTTGCCAGTATTTACTTTGTATTCACCAGTGACATGTTGCATTGATTTGTTCTCTATGATTCTGGTTGCTGGAGAAGAGGGAACATGCTGACAAGAAAGGGAGAAAAACCCAGAGAGGCATATTGGATTGCGGAATGTCCCTAAGTAGACTGAAAATTGGGATTTTGATTTGTAGTCCCTGGGAGGTGACTGAAAAATCACAAAAGCCCAGATATGGAGAAGGAAACATTTAAATACTTGGAGCACTCCAACCATGGCAAAACAGATGCTAAATCAAATAGCACTATGTCTACCTGTAATGCAGAAAACACTGCATTTGAGCCTCTTTTGTTGTAATGTTATTTGGTTGTAACTGCAACAAATATTGTCTGGGTAACCTGTCACCTATATATTATTACAACCAGCACATCAAATTGTAGATGCTGTGGGAAAGATGGGAAAACAATTTCTAAAATTTCAGGCTGGTGTTCACGTGGAAGAAAGGAAAACATCTTTTTCTCACTCCTTTTTTATCCACAGACCTCCTATAAGTGTTCTCCCTCTGACAAGAAAGGGAGAAAAACCCAGAGAGGCATATTGGATTGCGGAATGTCCCTAAGTAGACTGAAAATTGGGATTTTGATTTGTAGTCCCTGGGAGGTGACTGAAAAATCACAAAAGCCCAGATATGGAGAAGGAAACATTTAAATACTTGGAGCACTCCAACCATGGCAAAACAGATGCTAAATCAAATAGCACTATGTCTACCTGTAATGCAGAAAACACTGCATTTGAGCCTCTTTTGTTGTAATGTTATTTGGTTGTAACTGCAACAAATATTGTCTGGGTAACCTGTCACCTATATATTATTACAACCAGCACATCAAATTGTAGATGCTGTGGGAAAGATGGGAAAACAATTTCTAAAATTTCAGGCTGGTGTTCACGTGGAAGAAAGGAAAACATCTTTTTTGCCTGACTCATTTTACATCCAGAGACCT